AAAATTTCGTGGTTCTATGCACTCACGAGATATTCACTTTATTGATGCAATAACAATTGCTCCTCACAGAACTTCATTTTTTACTAAACGTTTTACTTATAATGATACTATCATGTTCAATGCTTTACCCTCTGATACTAAAACTTTAAAATTCAAGAATTCCAAAAATTATTTAAGAAAAATAATTTTCGAGCAATCATTTACATAAATGTATCTCTTACTTTACTTTTTTTTTATTTAATTTTTTTATGTTGAAGCTCTGCATTTTAGTGGCTGGTATATATTTTTTTGGATCGATATTTTACGGGTTAAGTGGTAGAAGCTAAACTTCGCCCAATAAAGACGTTTTATTATTATTATTATTATTATTATTATTATTTTATATAGGAATATCTTCAAAACGTATTTATTGAAAATAAGGGTAAAGAGAACTACATTTAGTCGGTGTTGCATTTCATTTAGTACATATGCGAACACCAAAAACCACCGAAACAGCTATCCATCTACAACTACCATACCGCCAGAATCGTCAGTCCCTAGCGGTCACAGTAGACACAGTTCCAAACAATTGCTGCTATAGAGACTTGCAGTGGTGGGCTGTGGTAATATATGGCAGTGTGCGCTTTCTCATTTCGATACATCTCATACCTCGGATAAAAGATAGGTGATACGCTTTCTTTGGTTGTTCCATAAACCAAGTCTAGACCATACTGATGAATTGCCAACAAGCACGAAACAGCTGTCTATGGTTGGCTGTCTGTGGTCGAACGTACGAAAGCACCAAGATTAAGTTACTTTAGAGTGGTATTTAACCTTCCTTAATAGGCTAATAGATCACAAACTTCCAATTCTAGCAGACTATACAATCTTGCTAGACCTAGAAATGCTCGCTGGCCTTTGACAAATGCTCCCGTTCCCAACTATACTATTTTCATCCAACACTAATGCTAACATTGTGTATTATGAATAATTCTGTATAGTTTAGGCGCTAGAAATGCAGGTTTGAATGTGAACGTAATTAAGTTAGATGTAGCGTGTGCTAATTGCTAATTTACATGAATCAGAATTAACAAAAACGGGACAGGCGCCGCATGTACGAGTAGGCTGAATGGGAGAGGCGGAAATCCAGCGGAAAATGGTAGGTACAGAACTTTCTATGTGAGTATTTGGCAGTTTATATAATGAAACAAACATCAAGATGCCAACATTTCTGTAAGTGGTCGAACCATAGATATTTACCATAAACTTTACAGCATTCCAACGGAAAAGCCATTCTCGGACGTGCAAGTGGGCGTCGCACACGGGGCGTGTAGGTATAATTTCATTGAGTTTTATACAGAGTCTTCATTTGAACACTTCCCACCACAGATTTATCGGAAACCGCTGATTAAAGGGAAAAACCCCGAGACACGTCAAAAGATTTGTCAAGTTAACAACTTTTTAACCAAAAACTACTTCATCCCCTTTCACCCTCGGCCACCAGGGTCATTCCCTTAAAAATTTTAAATGACAAGGGGTATCGAGTAACAGCTTGTTTGGTAGGTCTTTCAAAGTCCTCTAACTTGACTTTTGATTTTTTAAAATCAGGCGACTCGTATTCGAGAATATTAGAAAAATCTTTATTTATCTTAATATGTCCAGATAGAAAATAAAAACACACGAAAATATCACTTTTTATTCCAATAAGCGCTCAAAATATTGCATGGGGTTTGCCAAAGCTACAATTCGTTCATAATATAAAACGGAAACTACCAACATAAACATTCGAAAGATTAGACGAGGCAGCAACCAAATAACAACCTGATTTTTTTCAGCTTTCTTTACGTCAACACAGATATCCTGGGCGAACTGTATTTATTTTTATACCTGTTTAGTTATTTGTTGCTAAGGGAAAGAAAGAATTTAATTTGCTGTCAGTTATCTTTGTGACAATCTTGGACTAGTGAAAATTAATTTATTGATTGAGATGTTACTTCCAAAATGGTTTACACACTAGCCTAAAGAGTGGAAATGGTGCCCAAAATCCGTGTGCTCGGCAAACTTCCGTCACGTTTAACGCCAGACATCCGGGAAAGATAACCTTGCGTATGTATGTTTTGGACCTTGTTATTAAATTTACTTAAGCTGGATCTGGTGCAAACGTGATCATCGGAGAGTTTTGGATGAAGCCGTTCAGGTTGAAGTTTTGGGTCACTTTAGAATAACTCCTAATACTTCATTACGCAACATTTTTGCTACGACTGGTATTCCATTAGGCTCTGTACACACACACTTACTAAGTTCCATAAATTTCATACATTCAGAATGAAATCATTACAAGAGTTGACCGAAAATGATTTCGACAGGCGAATTGAGTTTTGAGACCAAATGACTGCTGCGATTAATGATAATACCATTCATGTAAAGAATACCTGTTTCAGTGATGAATGCACATTTCATCTAACTTGATTTGTTAATAAACATATTTGCGGGTTTTGGAGCAATGAAAATCCTCACGCTGTTGTAGAAGGTACCCCCCAAAAATTAATGTATGGGCAGGCATCTTAGGAAACAAAGTGATTGGGCCATTGGTTATTGATGGAAATTTGAATGGAGACATTTATTTGGATAGGTTGGAAAATGCCATAAATTTGCTTCCACTGAAAACATTGGAATCTAAATCTAAGAGGATTGAAACCACATACTTCATCAAGCTGAAGCTATAGAATGGCCTGCTAGATCTCCTGATTGTGCTTACTCCTGAAGGTTAGGATGAACTCCGTCAACGCATCATCGAAAGCTATCGTCTATTGGTTTGTTCGTACAGCCTGTTTGCTGACAATCAACAAACTGATAGTCGGCGACAAGTCTTGACCTAGTTTACGCAGTGAGCTGTCACTGACACGTCGCTGACTGTATTAATTGCGTACATGAGAACGTTACGAGTTGGCTGAGGGAGGTCAGACCGATTACCGACTATTAATCCGCTATTCGTACAGAAACTTCTGATTGTTTGATGACTGTCAGATCATCCAGCAGATAATATTCCAGTAAATTGTCAGAGCTCGGAATCAGGTACAGTAATTATTCGAATGTAAAATTTTTCACAATGAAGTAGGCTATTTTGAAAAAGTTGGGGGTTCATTTGCAGAAAACCAGAATGATCTAGGATTTTTCGTCCAACTGTCCAAATGTGCTCGAATTTTCTTTAGAGAGGAAACCATGGGCACTTTCTAGAAAAAATAACAGCACCCAAAAATGTCAACTAGATTTATTCAGTAATTATCATTCAATTCTCATATATCAAGTATAAACATCAGTTCGAAGAAATATGATTTCACACATCGAATGACAAGTTGAAGAAGTAAATACATAGTAAGAATTCTGAATAAACGTCTGAAGTGATTATGCATGAGAAATGTACAAAGTAATGTCAATGACTTTTAATAAAACTTGGGTTTTGTTCCCTGTTCCCTTGTCGCCCAGCCTTGAAGTGTATGCACAAACAGTATTTATCTATTTCAGCTATGAAAGTCCAACCCTAAGCTGATGAAAATATAAACAAAATAACGAATTCTGGGCTCATTCAATAAATAATTAAGAAGCATCTGTAATCTAATGTGCGCCTCATAGACTTAGCACCGGGAACTGATGAAAATTAGGATTTGAAGTGATTCAGACTAACGAACTCCAAGAGACTACTGCATTCTGTAATACGCATAATGCATCGAAAAATCATTGTATGTGTATATTTCAGAGATAACAAATTTTGTATGAGCTCGTAATTACTGGAGGAAGCTGTTTCGAAACACCGCTGAAATTCCAAGCATGATAAAGGGGTTTTTGAACTTTCTTACAAAACTTTAGCATCTGCAAATGAGTTTTTGATATTCCACTCGCCACCTATGAAGCATCTAAGTGGCATCAAAGCAAGAAGTGTATAGAAGAGTCATGCTAGTCAGGCACTTAAGAACTATGCTGGAGAAGGTTCAGCATACATAGAACTCAAAGGTTTCTTAGACTTTTTGCGATATATGCGTAATTTATGTCAATCTTTGGTCATATATAGTACGCAAATCATTGACCGTGATATGGTGCTAAGTGATTTTCGGTCTTATATGAACAAATTGCATCCGTTCTGATAAATAATATATAAGGAAGCTCGTAACATCAAGTGTGAGGATCAAGGCGTCTTAGTTTCTTTAACAACACTCCTCGATCAAATGTTGTCGGAAAAACCTGAGTAAAACCTCATCTTGAAAATGATGGTGATGATAAAAATTGGCCGCTTCCCGCTTGATAACGACAAAGTAGAAGGACTGGAAAACAAATTTTTTTAACACGGTGTAAACAAGGCGATAATCTCACATGTTTATAAAGTTGATAAATATAATGCCTGCCTTGTTTGCTTATCAGGTTTTTGATATTCAGCATTCTCGACTGTTCTGGTCACTACTACCTAAAAGGAAATAATAACGAATACACAACAATTACAAAATAATTAGAAGAGAGGTAGTTAAGGAAACCCATGTAGACTATCTTGTTACTTTTAACAAACCCAAAATATACAAGGCAATTGTTTGGCTTGAAAACCGTCAAATTTCTGTCATGAAATAAGGCCTGATACTAACGATTTTGAAATTTTCGACACACGAGTCGTGATACTTTTATCATTCTGCCCAAAGCTTAAGATGAGTCTAACTAGAGAAGAGTCAAAAAGTGTCGGCTGTTCACCATTTGCATCAAAATCAATCAATTAGAAAAGCTGTTTACATGATGCTACTGAAAAAAACAATATCGAATGGTGGCGATGTCCGAGAACAAAGAAATGTCTCATTACACGATATCTCAGACATAAAGGTGAGGTAGTTGACCTAATACGATAACTCTACAACGCCTGTATGTGCAAACTTTCCTAATTGAACATAGCCAACAATCTGTCCATATCAAGACCATTCGATGATAAGCAAATCATTTGTGACCAAAAAACATCATAAAATTTGATAAACCTTGTATAAAAAGCAACAGCAGCCATGGAAGAAGCATCCACTCTCGATTGTTTCTTCAAGATGTTCAAGTGCATTGCTGTTCTTCTCGTGGCTGCTGTTGCTGTTAGCAACGCAGTACCCATCGGTATCTATCGTGGCGCATACGGTGTGAACCCACTATACAGGTAAGTTACTTAGGAATGTCAATGGAGTGTTTAAACGCTACGGTTAGCACAAAATTGTACGCCACAGGTTTGTGGAGACGTTTTCTCTCTCTTTTGCTTGTTGTTGAAAGTTGTCTCATGATGTTTTCAGTATATCTGCTAAAAGAGTGCCATATTGACCACTTATTTTAATAACGTTCGACGCAGTGGTTAATAAAAGAATCAGGATCTTAAGTGGAGTATTTACCATGAAAATAACTCAAATCTTAAAACTAAACGCATCTATAAAATTCTAAGCGTATGTGCTTAAGACTTTCACACAATTTTTTTTGCTTTAGTTTTTGACTGTCTTTTAAAAGCCCAAATTTCGCATTTTTGGCATTCTTGGCAAAAATTCGTCTGTTCTCGGATATTTAACCTTGTTTTCCACTTTAAACCTAAATAAAACACAAATAAAAAGAATACAAACCATAAATAAAAAAAGTTTAACACACCAAAATTGGTGAATGTTTGACTAAACTGCCAAACTTGCCAACTCTTGGCTTTTGAAAAACTATTAAATGCAAGAATGAACAGTGAAATGTTGAAAACAGTTTAAAATGCACATGTTCTAAATTATTTGGCTTTTTATACCTTGAAGAATATTAATTTTAGAAAGAAAAGTTCAAAAGCTACCTTTTTTATTTAAAATGACCAAAAAAATGTAAAAAAATGTTCAAAGTATAAAAAGAATTTCTTTAAAAAACTATTTTAGCTATTATTGACACGATTTTGAGACTGGCAACATGCAGGTTTGTTAATTTGGGTTCGTTTTAAATGAAATTATACAGAAAACCAATTTAAGATATTACTCTGAAGGAAAGCTCGGGATGCATTTGCTTTATATTGAACCCAGAAGAAGGAAACTTTTTTCTAAACATATCACGGTTTTACAGAAACACTTTAATCAACGACTACTACCCAAGAAACATCTTCGGAGGCTACCCATACTACAAAAGGTTCGATCTCGGCTATGGTGATTACGATGACTGGTGCGTAACTGGAGACTGCGACATCTACAACACTTTCGGAACCTACGGAACCATTGATGACTTGCACCGCAGAGAAATCAACGACAGATTTGTGCCTGAGGTCCTCAGGAAATACACCAGTGGAGGGTAAGAAACGTATTTACCTTCACAGTGACTTTGAACGTAATAATTAAAAGAACAGCATTCTTTCCATCTGGTCCCAAAAAATTTTAAACTCAATTCACTACTGTCATGTGCTGAAATATTCTCACGAAAAGCAACCTCAACCCTATTCAGTCTCGTTTTAAAGCTGTATGCCCCTAAGTATATTCTTACTAGTAAGAATAGGGAATATAAATAGACTATTTTCATTCCTGGAAACCTTGAACAATGTACTTCGAGCAAAACAAAAAAGGCCATTTACTATACTTGTCTATGGCCAAAAAAATACGTCGTGGATCTTAAAAATAATGATTCTTGTGTGGTATGGTTATATCTGAAAGAAAACGTTTAATATTCGACAAACAATAGAGTCTTTTTTTAGTGAATGATGATTAAATTACCATCGGGAAAAACACGTTTTGGAAAGCATGACAGACACAAAAAATGAAAAACTAGAAATTATACATTTCTTTGCCATCAATCTGTCACCTGAGCAAAGAGGCCTTAAAACTAGGCCAATTAGTGTTTTTAAGAAAACAGAATGAAACTAACAGGTGGGGTTTCGGAGCAGTCAGACTGGCTTGGGGAAGAGCTCGAATTTTTCTCCCATATCCTAAAAGGCCCAAAGTATTTCTTAAGCAAATGAATGATGATTTTTGAGAAATCTAGAGTAACGTTACTCCTTAACGTTTGCACACGACCTTTTATGGTACTATTTTCTATTTCTTTAGTGGGACATAAATGAGTTTTGTAAACCAATCTGACTGACCTAAACTTATCAAGATCGTCAGTTGGCAACTGAGTAAGCAACATTCTCTGAAGCATGATTATTTTATGGGGAGAATGGCACTCGCAGAGTGGTAGCCCGACGCAAGTGGGGTTGTTTTTGACGGTATTCAGGTTTCTCTTTCTGCTTTCTTCGCTCACACATATTCACAACTCCTGCCAGTCAGAGTTTGGTTTGTTACCATTTTTTTGCCTTAATATGAGGTTTGTTCAAAAAGTATCGCGAATTTCATGTTTTTTCAAGAATTGTTTATTTATTCATGATATCATATTTCGTCCCCTTCAAAGTAATCCCCATCAGACATGATACACTTGTGATAACGTTTTTTCCAATCCTCGAAGCATTTTGAAAAATCATTTTTTGTAATCTTTTTTAACAAACCTCGTACCAGTACCAGCCATGCAGTCACCACAGCCACGACCTTTTTCGGTTTCCTTTTGTAATAGACCACTAAATTAGCTTTTTAAAAGCAACATCTACAACACCAAATGGGAGACCTGTTGGAAATCAACACTTTTGGATTATCACATCAGATAGATCATTAACCTAACTTCCTTTTTTAAAGCAAAATCTACGATGTCGTAAAGAAGAACCAACTGGGAGACGTATTGGAACTGAACGATAAACACAAGCTTGAAAATGTCCACCTCTTGGCTGGCCAGAACACCGTACGTGACCTCTTGAACGAACAACAAGAGAAAGTTTTGGAAGACAAAGAGATCCTGGACCGTCTGAACCTGAAAGAACAGTTGGACATGGAGAAACAAAAGGAAAAGCTCGCTATCATGCAGAAGATCCAGAAAGAACAGTTGGACAAGGTTCACGCTATTGAAGATGCCAAGATCACTGGAATGGTACCAGGTAGGTTCAGTTGATGCTTCGTACCCAATAGAACACGTTTTCATGGGACATGATTTATTAAAATTATTAACTCTTGTCCTCGTCCAAAGATTTTATTCGATGGAAAGATGGGATTGACGAACGTTTGACGGAAACGTAATAGAAGATGGTAAATGCAGATGAGTTAGATTTGGCCAACTTAAAAACATCTGTTGACCTAACAACACCACTTGAGCTGTTGAACTTTTTGAAAACAAGGCTAAGAGAACCTTGATTTCAACTCACTATATCCAAAAATCTTTTACAGATGTAACCTACATGCGCAACATCTACGGAGTTCCTCCATACACCACAGGATACGGTTACAACGATGTGAGGACCGGTATCTTCAGAGGCATCTACTAAGAGGACGATACTTTTTTTGTTACCTTGAGATTTGTTGACTGATTCAATACATGTTTTTTGATTATTTTTATCTTATTATTCACCTATCGGTGGAATGCTGTATAATACGTCATAATCACAACATACCTGTAGTATAAAAGTCTCCTCTACTGTAGAGATGTTTCTCAGTTGGCTAAAGGAGAATGTAGGTATACCTATCGGTCCACATATACCGGTCGATTGACGCCAAAAAATAAGCTTACTGCAAAAGACTGAGTATCTTTGTGTTTCTCGATAGGAGGGTGAATAGTTCATTTTTCGGTTCCTGTCAGTAAGCAGTTTGCCATCGTCCATATAAAAAAACTTGCCAATATTCGTAAGTCTCTCAGATCTCTACCTATGACTTTTTTTTAGAGACGCGCTTGATAGGCTATCTAGATATCTCGAATATTAATTATTACAGACCATAGAAAATCAAGTACGAAGCAAAGAGATAATTCATGTTTGGAGTAAAATTCGTGGCGCAAAAATATAGTCCATACAATTTTCTGTCCGAACTAAAGTACTACTTATTTTCTACTATCACTAGGATGTGATTTATGTGACGGAAGTGAACGAGGATAATTCTACAGAATTTGTCTCACATGTAAAAAAACTTGGTAACAATGATTTCTTAATTTGCACATGAGCTTCAGAATATATGTGCTTAGATCCATAGGTGATAGGCCATTTGAAAATCAAAATTGCATGAGTAATAATAGTTTTAGGAGATCAACAAGTGAATCAATGACATCATGTGCAACCTAGATGATCTTGAAGGTCTGACTTGTAGACTCAAATAGTGATTAAGACTTAAGAAGTTCAAACAAAGAAATGGCCTATGGCCTCAACTGGCACGTAGAGTTTATTTATATAATAGTTACCTAACTATTTGTAAAATCAAATGTCACTATTGAGTATAGAGTCGTAGTAATATTATGATTCACTGCCTGCATTCTTTTGCAGTAGGTGTAATAACATTACGAAAATTGCCGGTACTTCTTATCATGATGTGTCTTATAAACCTTGTTTACCGAGTTGTGTGATTGTTGCTATGTCAGTTTATAATGTTGACTCTCATATGATCTAAGAGGTCATCACCTAGCATATATCTGCACTCTCCAACGGAGTGTATTTTTTATCCAAAAATTGCTTTATAAACTTGTTTTTAAGTATGCGGTTGTCAAGTTTTTGTTATGCTGAAATTGTTATTGCATACAATGCATGCATATAGATGAGAGGATTGGTCCTGTGGAAAATCCGGTAGCTCTGTTCATATCAGGCATACCAATCACTTAACCTTTGGTTGAGTATCATCTAATAGGAAATCTGAACAGCTTTTTCAAACTTTACATGACGGCAATAACTTTTTGTCCTGAATCTATAATGACTTGATCTGAGTTCACAAATAGTACTGTGCTTTGCCATATTGAAACTCCAATCATGTTTCATATCAAACAATTATATAGTAAGGCTCTGAAGTATTATTTCTAGTATTTCCGATACCTTAGTATACAATCCAAGAACCTTAGATATCTAACACCTAACACAATCTTAGTACGAGCAGCAACGTAGGTGTTGACAACGCTGAGGGCATGCCATTTGTTGGCTAGGAGCGAAGTGCATCGTGGGGGGAACTAAATCGCGCAATGGAAAAAAAGGAACATTTCATCGGACTGATACTGGAATATAGACGTGGTGTGGTCTCTACGGTGTCAACTGAGCGCTGGCCAAGGTGCAAATATTTCGCTGTCAACATTTGTCAGATTAAAACACAACTGTCGGCTTGGAAATCAAATTGTTCCTAAACTTAAGTCGACTGAATGTCTGTTATTATGATCAATAACCAGAATAAATATAAATAAATATAACAACACAACATAAATATTTCACTCTGACAGCTGATAGATGGAGCTATAATCAATCGGTTTAAAATATTTATCATAAATACAAGGATTCCTAAGCTTTGAGCGCCATCATCAGTTACATGTGATCCTTAGTTGGTAAAAATAAATGACATTTCTGTGATATAGATGTTGGCAGTTTGACTGAAGGTCGTTGACTTACCGCAAATATATATCTGTCTGTGATGTGATTATTTTTTATCGACAATAAATCATATGTACCTTTAGCTGGCGCTTATAGACGCTCAAAACTTTTGTTCTTACAGAAAAAAATTTCAAACTGAACGAATCTCAAGAAGTTATAACTTCAGAGCATTGACCTACATCTATCTTATAGAAGTGTGATTTCTTTTACCAACTAAAAATTACATGTACCTGAAGAGTACGGCCAAAGTATCCGGAACGTTGTATTTATAGCTAATGTCATAACTCACCGAATCCCAAAAATTTAAAATTGAATTGGTATCAAGGAATGCAATACTTCAAAATGGTGATTGTATTGTGTAATTCTAACGGTAACGCCCTATATATGTGGATCTCACTCTGATAATTGCTCAAGCATAAAGATGAAATCAGCATATAGTTTGAGATTAATTAAAATAAAAGTTCAATATCACGTTTTTTCTTTTGGAAATTTATAAATGCTTATATTACGGAAATGATGAGCCAAAATAGCAAACAAGCAATGAAAAATTGAGTTCACGCCTGAATGGAGCAGAAAGAATCATTTGAATGGTTGCTTAACTGTCTCCTTCAAGTCTGCTGCAATTTAATTTTGATTTGATTTCTGAAAATGTAGCTTCTATAACAATATCCATCGAAACATTCTTATTGATGAATCACAAGCTCCGTATTGATGAAGAGTTGCAGCTTTAAGGGTGCTAACCTTTCGAAATAAATTAGACATGCAAAACCTAAAGTTGAAGGTTTTAGTATTGCTTGGAAACTTTATGGGCAAAAAATGTGTGAGATGAAAAAAGAGCATATGTCTATAATAAAAACTCGATCTTCAACAAACGATTCATGTGGATGAAGTTTGAAAAAAGTTACTGGTAATAACCATTTAAGAACAAAAATAAAACCTCAAAACGTGCTTCTTTGAGAGATTCTAAGAGTCAATGTTCTTCGAAACACAGTCCCGGAAATTCTTCATTTTGAAGACACATGATGTAAAGATTTTCTAATCCTTTTACTACCTAGGCTATTTGTTTAGGGCTAAGAAGTACTTTTCTCCGCATGACCTTCTCACTCTATACAAGGCCCAGATAAGGCCTAGCCTCGAGTATTGCTCACACATTTGGGGTGCTGCCGCCCCGACTACATTGTCCATGCTCGATGCTGTAAAGAGGAGGGCGGTCCGACTGATCGATGACTCTTCTCTAACAGACAGTCTCGGGACTCTTTCGCACCGGCGGGCCGTCGGCGATCTAGCTCTTTTCTATCGCTACACCAACGGGCTTTGCTCCTCAGAGCTCTCTTCCATGATGCCGCCGCGCGATGTGCCTGCCAGACAGACCCGTCTGACTTCGGCGTCCCATCCTAACCGTGTCAAACTTCGTACATCCAGAACTGGCCGATACGACCGCTCCTTTGTCCCGAGGGTGTCTAGATTGTGGAACAATCTACGGGAGGAAGCTTTTCCCAGTTCTACTAACCTTAGGCAGTTCAAAGGTCGTATTAACAAAATTTCTTTGGGATCATCATAGCAGCCGCGGTGTTCCGGCATTTAGGCTTCTGCCTGCGCGGCTGTTTCGATATAAAAAAAAAATACCTACGCCTACTGGCCAGAAACTATCGTAATCGCAGATGATTTCGAAATTTTGATATGTTTTTTGGGTGTAAAGTGGGAAATAGATCAGAGAAACCATGTCACTTATTTCCGTTGGTCTACTGAGGTAGGGGCTTTGATGAAGCTTTTAGGCTAGGTTGCTTCTACTGTACCTTGAAAATGCAGCACTTGAGAAACCATGCTCCTTGAAGTTTGGTCAGGTAATTTAATAACACCCTGTATATTCAGTTAGTCTCTTAAAGATGACAAAAAAATGTTTTTTCTTGATGCAGTCTCGTTGACAAAAACCTAAATACGCGTATATTGCGACTTCTATAAAGAACTTAAATATACCTTATTATTAGCTGACGAACACTTTACTAATTGAGCTGATGAAAAAACTAAAATACAAACTAAGAGCGTCGGAAAACAGAGGAATCTTCCGCTATAAGATATGAAGGCACCTTGCTAACCCCTTATTGATCTATGCTAATAACTTATCAACAATAACACCTTTGGCGCCTTTATGAACATTTAGTGATAAGGGAGAATATTTTGCGATACCAAAAACATCGTTATATTTGATAAACCTAGTATAAAAGCAACGGGAGGATTCAAAGAAGCATCCACTTACATCGAGTTGATTCTTCAATATGTTCAAGTGTAGTGCTCTCATCTTTCTGGCTGCAGTTGCAGCCAGCAATGCCATACCAATTGGCATGTTTGGTGCCAGTAGATGGACTCCATTTGGGTAAGTTTCCCTTCACAATTTATTTATTAAAAGTTAGTCAAGTGTTGTGGGAGCGATATTTACCAAATTTTGAATAAACGGATAATTGACTATTGCCAATCAGATTCTTTCGAGAACTATTTTTTCGAAATTCAAAGTGCCTGGATTCGATCCAGCACTCTTATGAAGATATGACAACACTGTAAAAAGTCAAATCCAATATCTTGAAAAGTACTGCTACGATATCCGCCAGTTTTGAATAGGGGGATGAACAGTCGTTCCAAATAGTACAAACCGCGTTGCTGTCAGATCTATTATTTAGTCAGAAGCAATACTACTCTAAGTTTGAATGTAGTATATTTCTTTATTACTGGATATTAATGCTCTAAGCACCCTCTAGTTTAACCAAATAGCAGCACTTCTTGCATACTTATGGAGGTATGGCCACATAGTCGAAGTCTTGGGGAGGCTTATGGAATATCCTGGAAATTACTAGACAGTTATCTACCAAATTTTGAACAGGGGGACGATCACGATTGTATGGCTGACAGATCCTAGTCACAAATAAGTTACTTCTGACAATGCTATCACCCCTTTCTCAGGCGCATTAAATAGAGCCTTCTTACTCTTAGGTCGTAGTGACGCGTACTAGAGGGACAATAGAGACAAATAAAAAGATAATATTGTGCTTAACTTTATAAAATATTGTTGTGTTCGAAGAAATTCTTCTCGACTCTTAACTATGACAATCCACCTACGCCAGTCCAGATATTTTAAGGTGATGATTTAAAAGCTTTTCTACTAAACCTTTTTTTTCGTACCATCACATGTCTGTAATGACAAACGCTTCACCCAACTTTTATGTAGGAAACTAATCCGTATAACAACTCATAGCCTTTTCAGCATTTATAGAAATAGTAACAGTAGTAACCCATAGTACTACAAGCAATAGTTCTTCCAGCAATCGATTTTTAGTTCGAAATACAGCAGATTATCTAGCATCTTGACAGCAGTCATGGCACTCTGTGTAGGCTGCGCTACTGCAAATTATAAAATCCAAGCCTGAAAATATCTGGATGCAAATGATATAAGGATTCATTAGATCTAACATGAAAACGATCCCCATGAAACTGTAGATGATTTCATGATGAGGCAGAGTCATTTTTGATACCAGAGACATCGCAAAATTTGATAAACAAGTGTAACAGCAATGGGGGGATTTAAAGGATCATCCACCTGCATCGAGTTGCTTCTCCAATAAATGCAACTGTGGTGCATCTGTTGGTATTGATAATATTACTAGCGAAATGGTTTAGGGGATAATTACTGCTCCGTCTGCTATAATTGAGGTGTGCGTATTAAAGTAACTCATAAAGCTTATCTTGTGGTTTTATTATTCACAGGACTTCATTGTCTTTTTGAACCACTGAATATATTTCAATTCCCTTTTATTGTACCTACGACGTTTTTCACCACTGTGGCCTTTTCGAGTACAATGACAAGTAATAGCAACATATGTTTGATCATTTGTCTTCCAGGGAGACTTGAATCATCGAACAATAAAGAGAAACATATATGTGGGATTATTAGGCGAGGCCATGGAGTTCTTTGAAATACGCGATTCGCGGAGTTTTGCAACTTGTTTGTCACGTGAAGGCAACTAGAATACTCATTGTTATATATATCAACAACATCTGCTGCATTCATTCATTTTCAAAAGCTCTTTACGACCGAATTCGTGTTTTAACATTTCCCTTGCAACTTTAATTCTTGTATTTCACGCCACCAGTTTTGGCACAAATGGAAGCGAGACCTAATAGTAATATATCCGTATGTGTGGCGGCTCACAAATTTACACTCCAGGTGTTTCATTTTTGTCATTTGTTTAAGAATCTACAGGCTACTGATTCATGAACAAATGATTTCGGTATAATTACAGAAAAAATATATATCAAGGATAAAGCTTAATAAAAACTGTTTTTACACTGGGTGGGTCGTTAGTCTCTATACATCAAGATGATAAGGTATTTCGTAGCTTATAGAAGAGCTCATATTCCTCTGTAATCTGAAAAACTCACAATAATACCGTTACTGCGACAACTCCTCAGAAAAGCTAGTTTTCCAGATGCATATTGAATTTATAGGTACAATCCTTCACTGAAATTACGTCTTTTCGGGTGAGAAACCTTCCTTCTAACGAATAATGTATTTATTTATGTTTCTTATTGTAAATTTTAAAAATTGAAAATAACTGCAACATTTTTGTAATACGATGCCCTAAGAATTTTATATCAAAATAAAACCGTAGATATATGTTATATTTGAATTTTTTCGAAGAAAAATTTGCGTATATAAACACCATGTGTAGAAAATACACATAATTGAACAAACGCTCTACCAGAAACTGCAGGTTAAAGGGTTTGCTACTATATCTCTAAAAATGACTGACCTACAAGTTGTCAAAGTTGAGTGTCTTTCCGCAGAAAATATCCAGTAACTCCAGTTATGTTGACCCAACGCCAATAGTAAGCTAGATTTAACGTTTTCTTTTGAAGTGGCCTTTCAAAGTGTGCTATTCAGTTGAAAAGAGGATTGTTTGTATCGCCACGTAGTTGGGAGTGACCCTGTAGAGAGTACAGTTGCACACGATCTTTGTAAGATAATGGAGAGCTACCAACGTACTGGAAACTCATCCTGTATATCTTTACTTGCAGAAAAACCCACCTCAACGACTACACCCGAAATGTCTTTGGGCTTAACAAGTTCGGACTTGGCGGCGGCTTAGATAACCTATGTGATGTCACTGGAGACTGCGACATGTACACCACTGTTGGAACCCTACACAACCCACTATTCAGAAGGTTCGGTCTTGGCTCTCGCGACATATGTGAGATCACTGGCGATTGCATTGGTTCCTTTGGCAGGCCATGGACCAAGAAGTTTGGTCTTGGACTCCGCGACTTGTGTGACGTCACTGGTGACTGCGATATCAACACTGTTGGTACTTTCAGCAGCCCATGGATCAGGAAGTTCGATATGGGCCTTGGCGGCATGACCATTGGTGACTGGAACCGCAACGTAGCCAACGACAGATTTGTTCCAGAGGTCGTCAGAAAGTTTGCAAATGGAGGGTAAGTAGCTTTTTCACCTCATATAAGACTAAGAATAGGGAATAAAACCATAGTGGTCAAAAGCTGTACCGAAATGATCCAGAGCAAAAAACCACCAAGGAAAAGGGGTTTAGGCTCGGTTGCAAATTTTGGTTGCGCTGCTTTCACGTTTCCATGAAAGCAACTGGCATCTTGCTTTTATAATGTGAATAAGCAACTTTCTTATTAATAAGAAGGAGGACGTAAATAGACTATTTTGATTCTTGAAAAGGCCGATTGAAAGGAAAATTGCATGAACAATAATTTTTCTCACAAATAAAATCTGCGACCCACATAGATCTATTGTGGCCTCTGCTTAAAGCTGTACGTCCAGTTTTGATATTTTACTCAGAATCCATAGCCTTGACAGAAGGCGTTGTTTTCTCTGTTGAATTTTTGATTTCTAATATCTGAAACCGTAGCCTTGCCAGACCTTCGCAGTGACAAAAAGGATGCATGATTTTTCAGAAACGGCATGTGACCTCATCTCGATTTAGACAGTATCCTGCGAGGAATCCCGCTATGGCCCTTATGACCTTCCTACTAAATCTAAACAGGCTCTCTGTGTATGCAGGCATTCGTTCTTTGATGAACTGTTTTGCCTGCGTTTGACTTGACTGCTTGTTCAACCATTCTAGTGACTTTCCCTTGATCCATTTTTTATGAAAAACCTAACTCAGGACAATGCTAACTTTGCTCGATGTCCCAGATCTTTGACTCTGTTCACGCGATCCCCTGCTAGTTTAAGCGATATTTGCCCTAATAGCTGTCTGCGCAGATGGCAGTCGACTGATTTGCAGTCTTCTTCTTTATGGCCGTGACTTGGTTCAGTCAAAGCTGTTCTGAATTTCTTTGGATTGTCACATTATATGGATCACTAATCTAACCGGCTTCTTTTAAAGCAAAATCTACGACGTGGTTAAGAAGAACCAACTGGGAGACGTATTGGAACTTAACGACAAGCACAAGTTGGAAAAACTCCACCTTCTTGCTGGCCAAAACACCGTACGTGACCTCATAAATGAACAACAAGAGAAGGCTCTAGATGAGAAAGAGATCCTGGACCGTCTGAACCTGAAAGAGCAGTTGGACATGGACAAGCAAAAGGAAAAGCTTGATATTATGCAGAAGATCCAGAAAGAACAGTTGGACAAGGTTCATGCTATTGAGGATGCCAAGATCACTGGAATGGTACCAGGTAGGTTATTATTGCTTAGTTATTCGTTTACACCTCTTACAAATATGTTCAGGCTATGTCAATAATCGCTCAGAGCTGACTCGATTATACGAAACAGGTAGCATAGCAATCAAGTAATCTGTAATTCAAACAAATACAGTTGAGGCTAGAGGGAGTCTGAGAGTTTTACCCACAGCTAACTTAATCTGAGAAACTGAAAACAGTATGAGGAATTTTAGACAAATAAAAAGTCATTATACATGAATTTAAGGTTTTATAAGTTAATATGTCATACTTTAACCTAGGCGGGAAGTGTAAACATGATTTTTAAAACCGTAATACGACCATATATTCATATGTTACATCGTGAACTTTTTTTCAGATGGTGGAATCACAAGGAACATGTACGGATTTGGTCCTTTCAGCGGCATCAACGATATGAGAAACCGCATGTTCAGAGGCATCTACTAAAACAACTATACTTATTTTTGTTAATTGCTCATATAAAGATTGATGTACTGGTAGACTTGAGGCAATACATTTTTTCTTGAATTTGCTTTATTATTTATACAACCATGGAATACTTCCACAGCATTCTGAACATATATTATATACTCGGTGACATTAGAAGTGTTACACCCAGAAGAAATAATTCCTTCAACTTGATTTTTTGGCAATGAGGTCCTACATCAAGAATGAAACGATAACATTCTCACGAAATTTTATTGACAAATAATAAGAAACAAAAATAATGTGTTGGGCGACCCCGCAGCTGAATACACTCCTGTATACCTCTAGGTATCGGCAAAATGAGATGATCGACATCTCGTTAGGGCACCTCATTCCAAGTAACTAGAGCTTCGTGGATTAGCTGTGGCAGAGTCTGTGGCAAATAGTGCAAAGCGGATAGTGTCCTCCCCATCATATCCCACACATGTTCGATGGAATTTAAATCCGGTGAACGGGATAGCCACTGCAAAACATTACCGCCTATTCCCTCCTTGAAAAAAGTCCGTAGCCGACGAGCAATACGGGGACGTGCGTTGTCTTGCTGAAAAAGTACGTATGTACGGCCCTCTAGATACGGCAGTAAAGTGGTTTGTAGTACATACATCATCAACATAACACGCAGCAGTCATATTTTCTTGACCAAAGAGAAGGGGTGGCCGGCTACCACATATAGGCCCTCAAACCATTACTCCAACAGTCCTGTGTACATGCCTCTCAACAGCAAATCCAATACCACGCCGACTTACCCTTCTCCGACCATCGTTCGAACCTAGATGGAATCGTGATTCGTCGCTGAAGATGACATTATGCCATTCTGTCCCCAATACTGCTGTTCTCTGCTCCAGTTCAAACGTTGGCCATAGTGATTCGCGGTTAGAGGAAGCAATAACTGTGCACGGTATGAAAAAAGTCCAAAGGCTCGAATGCAGCATAGTACGCATAGTAACAGGTCTTCTTCTCCAAACCATTGGTCATCGATCTGACGCGTAGGAGCAAAACGGTCTCTTAGCGCTAGTTGTCTGAGCACCTATCTTGATGCTCTGTGGTACGCCTTGGCAGACCAGTTGCTCTTATTCATGTTCCTCTACCTTCCTCTATCCACACACGATACACACGCATTACCGTCATTGTAGTACAATTAACACGGCGGCCAATTCCGCGATAGGACAGACCAATATCTAGATAGGCAATAATTCTGTACTACTCAGCTCTCAGAAGCTGCTTTCTTTACAGAAACTAAGAGATAACATCTTAACAAAGGCAAACAAAAACAAAGATAAAACGTTGACATTATTGTCACAGCATGCTTTAAATATATTCGTTATGGCGCCAAAAAAAAAGCAAGTTGAAGGAATTATTTATTCTGGGTATAATGTCACTGAGTATATACGAGCCCCTACCCACTTCAGTTGGCCCACTTCAAGATTTGTACCAAAATATGCCTTTATAAACTAAACATGACGAATCTATTTACTTCTACAACAACTTATTTTCTCAAAAACGATTTAGATACACTATAGTCGTAAAAAATACATATCTGAAATCACTTAGACCTATAACTAATAGAACATCTGAACAAATAAACAATGTGCCAATAAATGCGCGAAGTTAACAAAGCAACAATTGAAAGATTACCATTGGATGGTGTCGTAGAACCTTTTTCATCTCGTGCCACATAGTTTCAATAGGTGACAGATCTTGACTGCTAGAAACCCATTTCAAAAGTGGTACATTATTTTCTTCCATCCATTTTATAGCCTTTTTTGAGGTATGGCACGCTGCACCATCTTGCTGAAAGACAAAATCTTGGCCGGATGTCAAACATTCTTCCATCACTGGTAAACGCGATTCTTCTAAAATTGCCAAATATTTGTTTGTATCCACATTTCCATCAATGAAATGAAGTTTTCCTACTCCTTTTGATGACATACTGCCCCAGACCATAATGGATGCTGGAAATTTCACTTTTCTCTCCAGACAGTCAACATGGAATGCTTCATTTTTTTGCGAATAACAACTGCAACTGTCACCAACACAAACTTCAAATCGGACCTCATCACTCCATTGTTGAGGTGTCCATTGTCTATATTCTTTAGCCCATCTAAGCCGATTTTTCTTTTGCAGTGGAGTTAATAGTGGCTTTTCTTTGGCCTATAAACAGGTTGTGCAACTTTAGGGTTTTTACTTCTCTTTTTTATAAGAAAAATTACCTTGCAAGTGCTAAATCGAAGTTTGTGGGCCTCTCTATGAGTTCTGGACCTCGGAATTTTCCTCCTTCCAACAGCGTCACTCCACAGAGCACTTAATTGTAAATAATTGGCACGCCTGTTTTTCACGATTATTCTTCTTAATGCTCTTCGGTCGGCATTTGTGATATTATTTTTTTTCACATATCGTGGCTTAATATTAACTGAACAAGTTACGTTATATATTCTAACAATATTTCTCACACTGTACCGCGATAGGTCTAACAAAGTTGCAATTTCTGAATTTGATTTCCCAGAATTAAAAAATTCAATTATCAATAACCGAATTTTCTCACTAATAACCTTTCCTCTACCCATTTTGAAAACCTTAACTACCCAAAACTATTTTAAACGTATTCTGACAGCTGTGATTAATAAAAACGATTGTCATGGCTTTTATTTTTCACAGCCACCTATGCGTTAGACTTATTTTGCATTGGAATGAAAATAGGTTGATATGCTGTAATTACAAAATGTGTTATTTTTATGTTGCAAATTTGATTAGGGAGTGATAAAGTTGGTGTTTTTTACTATATATTATCAAAATGTTCATTGTTAATATTTTAAACCTATAACACCCTGCTACATTTTTATTATTTTTGTTTGATAAGTAAGAAACTAAGATTTCAATACTTTGGCCAACTGAAGTGGGAAGGGACTCATACTATATTAGAGAGGAAAGTCGGGTTTGTTGTACCGGACCTTAAATTGTACCACCTCAATATTTCCTCAATTGTAGATTCTCAACGCCGTATAGTTAGCCTATTTAATGCCTCTTGACGCCAAAAAACTTAAACCGGCAAACGCTTCTAAATCTGATATTTGTTGGTTTCTGTGAAACGTGTTTACTCAGTAAAAATTATACAATCTCAGACAAGCGTTCGTATCCAAATAATTGTTTTCTTTTAGTTGAGGTGGCATTTTTCGTAGTTATTCATTATTAATAAGAAATAAAACCATTTGTGTCAAGTATACCAAATTGACGATTAGTTTGATATTTTGTTCTGGAACATCTTCTGGAGGATATGGATAAGCAATACACAAATTGGATGTTTGAAGCTTAGCTTCGTTCCCTAAGTGATTAGACTACATTGGTAATGTTTGAGCTTAATTTAAATAATTATGGTTAGTTTTTTGCTTGTGGTTCATCAATGCGCTCCAAATAAGTAATTCTTATATTTAAGTTGAATAAACTCAACACGTTTGATTTTTGCGGATATCTTAATTATTCATTAAGGTAATATTTTGTCGTGTATTCCTAATTTATGATTTCTATGTGTAACCTGGCTGAGTAGAACGTTTTTTCGTTCGTACACATTTGTGGCACTAGCGGTGAAAATCCAAAGCTTTCTGGCCAGATACCAACTTACAAACCACGTGGTTCAACTAACCGATTCAAAAAATAGTACCGTCGGCAACAGTTTTTTTAAAAGAGTTTTCATTATGAACTTTCAGTACTGACATAAGTTTTTTGTTATGCTTTCTGATAGAAGCTTAAGATTTCCTTACTCTGTCGTTAAATTTCAATGCGTCATCAACGAGTTATTTTCTAAAATATGTTAAATGGACAATTTACCCTACTTTACCCTACCAGAATTAAGCAACACATATACAGGGTATTTATTAGAAAACCTCCCAACACGGATTTATCAAAAACCACTTATTGAAAGAAAAAACGCCGAGACCCTACAAATGATTTCTCAACTTTTTAATTAAAAACTACTTCACCTTCTGCCCTCAGGGTCATCCCCTTGAAAATTTTAAATTACACGATGTTTAAAAGGCCTTTTGCAGTCCTTTATTTTGACGTTTGACTTTTTAAAATCGGTCGATTCGTTTTTAAGAAAATTAAAAAAAATTATTCATCTTAATTTGTTCAGATAGAAAACGAAAGCACATGAAAATATCACTTTTTATTTCAATAAGTGTTCAAAATGTTGCCCGTTATTGGGCAAACAATGATATAGGCGATGCTCAAGTTCCTGGCTTAGGGGAGACCGGGGCTGGTTGTCACATGGGTTGGTTGTCACAATTGTTAAATCTCAGCAGCTCCGCAAGATGTAGTTGCCTGGCGCGCTACACATCGTTTCTGCGTCCGCGCAGAACACTTGTATTCAGAAAGTTCTCGTTGGTAGATTAAGGTCGCCCACACAAAAATAAACAAATCGCCTAACCTGAGTAAATTTTTCGTTTGCCACATAATTTGTGTTTTCAAGACATCTGATAATAAAAAGAACTGTTGAATTAATTTTGCTCTTCAATAATCCGAATACGACTTAACGTAAGTATTGACTTTGAATTTGTTAAGTTAGTGACGCTATCTAACCTTAAAAATTAATTATCTAGTGAGGCAGGTTGTCTCAAATTGGCGGGGGCCTCGTGTCACATGGGACAACCAGCCCCCACACTAGACAATTAGCTTTGCACATCATTCTACGTAGTTATATGTATATAATGTATTTTTTTAATATATTCAGGTTACATAAGCATGGTTCGAAATTTTAAAAGGAAGACTGAGAAGGGCAAAGCGCCGCCTGACGTACTTTTAAGAGCTGCTAGATTAGTGAGATTAGGATCCTCAATAAGAAAAGCGGCAGCTGACTTCAATGTAAATTACCGAACTTTAGCAAGATACTGTAAGAAAATTCCAGGGTCTGAATTACTTGATTATCGAGTTGTTGCGCCGTCAATTTCAGTTGGGTACATCAAAAATCATTTAGTATTTGAGCCTGAACTTGAAAATCATCTAGTGGAATATGTACTCAAAGCATCTCATGTTTATTTTGGATTACCACC